ACCCTTTATCGTCTCTCTTATGAATTTTTTTTTTTAATACAATAAAAGGCATGAAAAAATAATGGGGAAGAAAAAGTATGAGAGCATATATGAGAATCATGCATAGGAGGGTGTGATTTGTTATGTGATTTGGTATATATATCACACACTCAAAAGTCTCACACAATACACCATTTAATGAAATACATTAAAATCAGTAAGTTTTTGAATACCACAGTACTTTTTTTTATCTATTAAAAGTCCTAATTGAATACCATCGGACTTGTATTGATTATTTAAAAATCCTAATTGAATACCACCAGACTTTTATTGTTTACTTAAAAATCCTAATTGAATACTGCTGTACTTTTAAGCTTCAAAATAATCCATTAAAATCTTAATTGAATACACTCTCCTAAAGCTGCGGCTACAATACAAAGCCACCCTTTTCTTTATCCTTAGCTGGAAATCAACCCCTTCAATTGGCCGAGTTTGGCTCCTTGACCAATTAATGAATTATGAAACTGTCAAATGATTAAGATTTGTATATACAATATTTGCATTAACTGGGAATTTTTTTTTTGGATTGACTAGTGGATTCGAATTTAAAATCTCCGTGCAATATTTTCACACCCATTTTTATTGATTGTTCATTTAAAAATTGACGATTTCAAATAAAAAGAATTTGTGCAAATGGCAAAATTAACCTCAATAAGTATATGTGCAAGCTAATCTCAAAGGCTAACTTTGTCATTTGGAGAAAATTTTCATATAAAATCATGGGGAATTTGCATAAATACCACTTGAACTATTAGGGGTGTGCATATTAACCACCCAAATAATAAAATTTAACTATTTACCTCCCAAACTTCAGTTTTGGTGTTAATGTGCCACCTCTATTAACTTCTGTCTAATTTTCCATCAAAAGTTCCAAATACACCCCAAAATTTTCTCTGTTCGCCTATTCACTAAAATTTTGGGTCAATATTCCAATTTTATCCCTAGAATTCATAAATAAAATCATTAAAAAAATCTTACCCCGAACCCATTGCAGACCTTCCCCGCCCTACAACAGCCCCGCTCCTCCTCTCCCATATTCAACAAACTCCCAGACCCCCCCTCCCTCCCTCCCTCCTTCCTCACCCACTGCTCAGGGGTATTCATGTAATTTTTGAAATTTCTGGGGATTTTGTAAAAACACTGAAAACCTCAAGGAGTGTTAGTGTAAATAACTCTTTTTGTGAATATAAAAGTATCACTATCAAAAGTTATTTAATTGTTATAATTATTATTACATGAAGGTTTGAGGATACGCTCGTCGTACCGATCTCATCCAATGACGGGTCCATGAATTTTTATGGGGGTTTGTTTTTTTTTTTTTTTTTTTTTTTTTTTTTGGTTTTGCTATATCAATTATAAGGATGGTTATGGTTAACCATCATAACATCATCAGATAAGCCAAGCTTTAGGAAGCAAAAGTAACTTGAAAGAACCATAAATGAAAAGAACACAGAATAATCTCACATAAATTGAAGAATTCAAAATTTTAGTAAAGGCTTCGTGCCCAAAATGCATAATAGAGTTTCAGAAAGTAGAAATTGAAAGAAAGATATGAGAAATTATAGAAGTATTGAGATGAACTTTGATACCATCATAACAATATGAATTAAGCAAAAGAAGGATTGTAGAATAAAAAGAATTATAGAGATAAAACCAGACTCTCATGCTTATATTTGTATCTTTAATATGCAATAAACAATTTAAAGGAAAACAATGAGTTGCAACACACAAAATGGAGTAGGACAGAGGAAATTATCATTTACAAGCTTAATATCACAAAACGTCCTTGAGGTTTACGAAACTATCAGATTGCATCATTAATGTTTTTTTTTTTGTCATTCGTGGTCCTTAAGGTTGATATGTGTGATCACAAATGGTCCCTGCTATTAGGTTCCATTAAAAACTCCGTTAGATTGCTGACGTGGCATATATATAACAAAACATCCCTGAGGTTCACGCACCTATCACAAATGGTCCTTGCGAAATTTTTTAATTTAAAATTCATAAAATTTTGGTTTTATTTTTTATATTTTATGAATTTTAAATACACGTGACACTATATTATTGGAGATGTGGGCTCCACATATATGCCACATCAACAAACTAATGGAGTTTTTAAAAAAAAAAAAATTAAATTCATAAAACTTAAAAATGGAAAAACCAAGGGTTCAAGGTTTATAAATGGTCTTCAAGGTTAAAATATTCTATAAATGGATAAATAACACATAAATCGAGGGCTATGCGGATCCTCGGACATATATGATATGGAATAAAGGTGTACCAAGCTACTTATGGATGTAACCACAATTAACATCACTACAGTCAGGCTATCAATTTTCAATTTTAAATTTTATTATTTTTAAAATATTTTTAAAAACTTCATTAGTTTGTTGATGTGGCATATATATGGAGCCCACATCTTCAAAAATATAGTGTCACATATATTTAAAATACAATATATATTTTTTTAAAAAGAAAACCAAAATTTTATGAATTTTAAATTAAAAAATTTCGCAGGGACCATTTGTGATAGGTGCAGGAACCTCAGGGATGTTTTGTGATATATATATATATATGCCACGTCAGAAAACTAACGGAGTTTTTGACGGAACCTAACAGCAGGGACTATTTGTGATCACACATACTAAGATTGAGAACCACGAATGACACAAAAAATACATTAAAGATACAATCTGATAGTTTCATAAACTTTAAGGACGTTTTGTGATATTAAGCCCAATAAACAATCTAGTATATTATAGAGCTCGTGGAGCCTTGCTTTCGGAGGTGGTGAGACCAACATGACCACATATCTACAATATTTATTATGTAAAAAAGTATTTATCTTTATTATAAAAAAATGCATCGCACGGGCTCCAAAGTTGCATCACATGGATTCTAGTGAATCCAACGATTAGGATTTATACAAAGGTGGGCTTATGTTTACATAGAGGGGTAGGCTAAATATTTCATTTACCTAATTTGGGCTTGGACAACTTAGCCTTGGTTGTAT